GTATGATGATAGTACAGTTGATACGTATTTATGATGGTGCAGTAGATGCACAGCAACACAATAGATGCATATCTGTATGATGATGGAGCAGTAGATGCATAGCAGTACAGTTGATACATATTTATGATGGTGCAGCAGATGCACAGCAACACAACAGATGCATATCTGTATGATGATGGTGCAGTAGATGCATAGCAGTACAGTAGATATTTATTTATGATGGTGCAGTAGATGCACAGCAGCACAGGAGATGCATATCTGTATGATGATAGTACAGTAGATACGTATTTATGATGGTGCAGTAGATGCACAGCAACACAATAGATGCATATCTGTATGATGATGGTGCAGTAGATGCATAGCAGTACAGTTGATACATATTTATGATGGTGCAGTAGATGCATAGAAGTACAGTTGATACAAATTTATGATGGTGCAGTAGATGCACAGCAACACAATAGATGCATATCTGTATGATGATGGAGCAGTAGATGCATAGCAGTACAGTTGATACATATTTATGATGGTGCAGCAGATGCACAGCAACACAACAGATGCATATCTGTATGATGATGGTGCAGTAGATGCATAGCAGTACAGTAGATATTTATTTATGATGGTGCAGTAGATGCACAGCAGCACAGGAGATGCATATCTGTATGATGATAGTACAGTAGATACGTATTTATGATGGTGCAGTAGATGCACAGCAACACAATAGATGCATATCTGTATGATGATGGTGCAGTAGATGCATAGCAGTACAGTTGATACATATTTATGATGGTGCAGTAGATGCATAGAAGTACAGTTGATACAAATTTATGATGGTGCAGTAGATGCACAGCAACACAATAGATGCATATCTGTTTGATGGTGCTGCAATAGATGCACAGCAACACAATATATGCATATCTGTATGATGATGGTGCAGTAGAGGCACAGCAGAAATATAGATAAACAATACTTATAATATCATCTATTCTGTATTTAAATATACCTGATACAAGATGTTTTGGCGGTGACAACACAAAAAAGGTTTGATGACTTCACTTTTAGTCACTGATGAAAGTTCACAGGTTTGAACTTTGGCATCTTCACTGTGATAACAAATAAAAACAAAAATATGATTTACAGATTTACCTTTTCAGTCATTAAATCATCATAGTCACAGTCAATTGCTACTTTCACTTTGCTAGCTTGTTCGCTGCACATTTTATAGATTTTGAGAGGAGGTTCTCCGGTTGCTTCCCGTTTTTCATTCTTTCTCATTTTCTCTTCTTTTCGTCTCTGTTTTCGATTTTTTCTGTAGAGATATGATTTGTGGAGTAATATTGAGCTGTCCAGTTTGATCATAATGTACAACTCAACTGTAGACAAAAAATGGTGACCCATGATAAAACTACACATCTTTTACAGTGAGGGCCTATTAAAAGGGGGTGGGCAACAACCATTTTTACTATTTTATGTGAGAAAAACAGATAAGGGAGAGTGGCACTGAGAATATGTTCCCCTTCCAAATGTACAAGAGGAATCTGATTACAAACAGCAGAAGAAACACCTGTAAGACTAGGAACCCCCCCCCCCCCCAATAATATTCCACCATGGATTTTTAAAATTCATAAAGCAACAATTTTTTGTTACAGTTGTGAATCGTTATGCTAAACAAAATAAGTAATTATTCTTAAAAAGATAATTACACCAGATGGAAGAATCATCAACAGAAAAATATTTGTCTTCCTGCACCTACCATCAATGCCTATTTTGAAAATACAAGTAGCAAATTGATTATTTAGGTCTTTTTTGGTCTGGTGTGGCTAATATGCAGATGAGTTGTCCCATATGTGGTATATAATGCATGTAAAATACAAAATGAACAAGCACTGCATGACTGCAGCATTTTTACTCACTTTCAGATGCTTGTATTACGGGGTAGTCTTTATTTTAGCTACACTTATAATTGTTATTGTTTTACCTCAAACCGACCCGACTCACCCACATACCTCATTTCATCTTTCCTCTCCAGCCATTTCTGATGTTTTATTATCTTCTTTCTTTGCCTTTTAGATAGTACCACCTCTGATTCGTCTGATATTAGCTGCTTGGTAGTTATATCTGTGTCACGTTCAGACCCTTCAGATAAATCAGCCATCTTTTTCGTGGATGACGAATCAACATTCGATCCTAGCATTTCAGTCATTGAATAAAAGCCCATTCGTTACAGCATACCTTTCAAGTTATATGTTACGGATAAATTACTATGGCAACCCAGAACTACCAATCAAGAAACTTGCCAGAACTGGTGCTAAATGTAGTGCAAGTCTTCATTTTCATGGAATTTGGCACATTTTGAATCACCTTTTTAGGCATGTCTTATAGTTTATATATTTACTCCATTAGAAGCACATCTCCAATAAAGCATATGTAAACATTTGCATTTATTTATTCAAATTCATCAAATTTATCAAATTCACAGTCATTTTCAGCTGGAAATTTACCTATGTACGCATGTTGTTTACTCGTGATCTTCCACACGCAAGTGATATACAAGTGTCTATGAGGCACTAACCACAGGGTCTTTAAACTATTATTCAATTTGTCCATGCATTATAAATTAAATAAAGGACAGAGATATTAATTGATGAGATCAACTGCAGTGAAGCGAGCTCTATAGATAGATGTGTATGTATAAAAAGAGTATGAAAGAAATATATAATATAAATATATACTGTCCATTTTTGGTCAATGGGCGGCGCCCATTTTGTTTGTTATACGAAGCGAGACAACTCATTCATGATAAAGCATCTTTAGAATGTTGTTCAATGGTAAGGCAATCAATTTTTGGCAACAGGATGAAAATAGTTCACTTTTGAATATTGTTTTGAGTAATTTTTATCAGCGGCGACACACGAATTGTGCATGGCATCATCTTGAATTCAGTTCAGCCAGCTACATATTGACTGGGACACATACATGTATATTTGATAATAACAACACTTATTTTATCTTCTAATGCGAGTGACCATTCTTGTCAAGCAGTCACTGTGCATGCACGCCTATAAGACTGCAATTTGGGGATCGACCATTTGAAATTATGAGGGGTGTGGGGTGGTGGTTAAGAGAACATGACCAGTGCAATTTTTCGCTGTGTCTTGTCTGAACATTCTTATTTTTCTTGAATGTGCTAACATGTTTTCCCTGCAACATCTTGCATGCAATTTTTCTCTCTGTGTGTCTAGCTTGCAATGTTTTTTTAAAATAAATCTTCCAGCCACCCCCCATGATTTCAAATGATCGAGCCCTTAACCAAGTACAGATTCCGGTTCCGGGTTTTATGGACAACCCTGCAGCGACTTGCGCTATGGTAATGGAAGAATAGAGATAACTGAGTTGTCGCGAATAGCCGTTGTTTCGTGTCCGACCTATCAAAATTTGTATTTGCTTGTCGTGTAGTTACGTCGATTCACAGTCACTTGGGGGCTGAAAATCAATGAATACTAATTAAAAAAAATCATCCGCTATACGTATATTTATATTTTCAGCCCCCAAGTGACTGTGTATCGATTACTGCTAGTAACACACTCGCTCTGCGTACAAGTGCTGTGTGTACAGGGACGCGTTTGGTTGATAGATGTCCCCACCACAGCCCTGCGAACTTTTATAGACAAAGTCCGGGACTTTGAAAAATATAACTTTTTTAATGAAATAACATGCACAGGTACCAAAAAATGATGATCGATTACCAGAAAATATCCAGAACTCCCAGTTCGGAGTCCAATTGTGGATGAAATCGGCTACTTTGCCCTAAAAACAAACGCATTCTCTCGCGTGAATGAAATTAAAAATGGCGGCGTTTGGTGGATAATTCCTCCGGTTTACAATTTGTCCGTCTTTACTAGTTGTTATTTAAAGACATTTCAGTTTCAGATAACTTTGTAATGCTTGTTACGGATAACTATCGCCATTTCAACCGATTTCGGCTGGGAAACTACTTATTAAAAGTTATTTTTAACTTGCGCACCAATTACGGTGCGCTCCCGGACTTTGTCTATGGAGGTACGCAGGGCTGTGGTGGATTCACAGTCAGTTCGCCCCAATGCACATTCGCCCCAGACCAGTTCGCCCCACAGTCAGTTCGCCCCAAAGTCGGTTCGCCCCAAATTTACTGGTGTTCGTTTTCGCGGTTATGCGTGCAAGGAAATGTGGTTTTGAAATATTTTAAAAATTATACTAAAGTAAAGCCACATCGAAGGACGCTGATCGCCGCGATTCATGATTGTAGCATATCGCCCGAACCCGTGCTGTGCCGTGTGCTATGATCGCAGACTCGTTTGACCTATTAGTCCGTACGACACTCTCCGACCCGATAGATTTTATAATTGGCATTCACAGGTCAAAGCAGCCAGCAATCTTTCCGTTCAGGCTTCGATGAGATCCGTAAACTGGACGAGCTTTGAATAGTTTATCGAAAGGTCGAATCGATCTTCAATCGAACATGCACGTTGATGATGGTAGCAAAATGGCAGGTTGGCTTTCTTCCCTTCCTATTAAGGCGTGAATGCCAACCCACCACAT